TTGTCATTTTTGCCTGGTACTTTATGATTTGCACTAACTTATAACATAGAAATCAGGAAACTGATAGAAAAATAGAAAAGGCATTTTCTCATATCAAACCTTTCAGAAGAAAATGTTTTCTTGTGAATAAAACACTTTAGTTGATGTACAACAACAACAACAACAAAAATATATATAGATTTTCTAAAAGATTTCTCTGTAATTCTACAGAATAATTACTGAATGTGCATGAGGTGTGTTTTTGCTTTTTTTCAGTTAAGGGGAGGTGCTGTAAAATGAATCTTTATATATTTATAATTGTACACTACTACTATTTTGTACATGCAACTTAGCTAGTTTTATTGAAAATGAAAACAATAATGAAATTAATGTCCACAAATTTGTGACCCAAAAAAAAAAAAACCTGGTATCCCATTTGTAAACTTTGAGATTCAGTTCATGTTTAAACTCATGATCTCTGGCATGACTTGATATTTTAATGTCTCTTCTACTAGCCAATATCAGTTCCTAAAGGAAAACCTCAGAAGTGACACCATTTTGGTCGGATAACAACAGCACAAACACCAGTAAGTATTAGTAATGAATTTTATTAATTCTGTGATGTTTTGTGTTATAAGCCGGTTTGTCTTATCTTAAAACATGACATCATGTTTGACAAGATCACAGAAATCATTTCAAACATTAGCCAAAAAAACAACAACTTTGACTTGTAAGATAACTCAATCTCTCACTGAGCAACAGCTCTTTATTTCTTTATTTCCATGTTAAGCATCAATTTTATTGGTTTTGTTTAAATAATAATTATAATAGAAATGCATTCGGAAATGATTTTCTAAATTTAAAAATCTCAAAAGGTACAGAAATATAGGCATTGCCTCTTTCAAGACGACATAAAACGTACAGCCTCTGGAGAAACATTCAGTGCTGCCATATAAAGTTTTAAAACTGCAAGATTGTGTGGTCCAATTAGAATCCAGTGATGAGGGAGAAAGTGTGATCATGTTCAAAGTAAGCAGGCTCACTTGAACAGGCTCTTCCCAATGTCCATAGCCTGATCAGCGGCACTTTTTGCTGCAGCGTCTGTAGCAGCTTTGCCGATTGCGCCGCTCAACATATCTCCAACACCTACAGACAGAATGTATTGATCAGAGAGTTTCAAACTGGATGAATATGATAGTGGAAGAATTTCGTATCTTTCCAAAGTCTCCTATCAAAGGAAACTAAAAGATTACCTCCACCCTCTTTCTGGCTTTTTGCACCTCCTGCCTTTTTCTTGTCTCCTCCGATTATTCCTCCAACTTTCTCTTTGGCCACCTCAGCTGATGTAACATTCATAAAAGTTCAAGTTAAATATGTTTTAAGTAAAGGAAATTACAAAAAATACTAGCACTTGCAATTAATTGAATTGGTTACATTTTCAGGTGTTTAATTTTCAAATGCCATACTGTGACCTTCAACAGTGCATCGATGCATTGAGCAAACAAATTGAACTTACCAGCCTGATCGATAATCTTGTCCACCTGCCCATCTGCTCCCTTCATGAAGTTCATGTTTTCGTGTTTGATGTCAGTCAGGCACTGTGTGTGCATCAGAGGTGTGCGTACTTATAGGCTGTGGTGTTTAGCATTTTTACAACCCCCCCCACCCCCCCAAGCATTGGATGAGGAACACCCTCTCAAACTAATCCACCTCTCAGGCATTATACATCTCTTTCATTTCATGTCTATATTTCTCTTCTCACGCATTAAAGGAGTATTCAGAGCTGAAGAAAGTTATAAATTCATTAAATTGCTAAAACAAGACATTGAACTTCAAGAAGAGCCCCCTCAGAAGTAGTGTTTGTACTGTAAACGGCATGGCATCACACACAATACAAGCTTTCACTGTTGACGAATTGTTGTTTGGGTGAATACAGGGTTGCGTGACTCATGAAGGAAGCAGCTGAAGAATGTATGTGGCAAAATGAGTCGAAGCTGCTGTAGGCATTTTTACACTGGTTTGGTTTTTGAGATGTACAGTCTCTGAAATGATTTGAGATCATTTTCCTAATGTTTTTATGTGATTTTGATGCTAAAGAATGTTTGTTTGGTGGGTTTGTTGAAGATCAGGTGCGAAGGAACAGAAACCTCCATTGTGTAGTGGGTTCCAATGGTCTGAGACCACGTGGAAAATGTAGGCTATAAAATTTAAATTAAGGACAGATTCAGGATTTTTAGGGGGGGGGTGTTAGTCATCAAAATGAGTCATATTGGCCACGTGTACCAGAAGTCAAGATTTTTATTCTCCAAGGTAGCTACTTGATATATATGCTACATGTCCCAAAACTGTCCTAAAACTCCAGTCCATCAATTAACGTACTGTGAAGTGATAAGCTGCATGTATTTATGAAACAAATCCATCAAGGCATTTAAACCATTGCTTCTGGCCAAAAGTTATAAACGGTGCTTGATCTTTGCATATTTCTCTCTTGATTTTGATTTCTCTCTGAAGAAAGCAGTATTATGGATAGAGGGATCTCTATTTTAGTCAGAAGTTAAAAAGATAGTTCACCCAAAATGATAGAAGAATGACACAGAAGAGAAGAATTGTTAAATAAAAAAGTCATTATTATTGTTTTCTTTGTGCACAAAAAGTATTCTTGTAGCTTCATAAAATTACCACTTTTGATGTCACATGGACTATTTTAACAATGTCCTTACTACCTTTCTGTGCCTTGAACGTGTCAGTTGTGTTGCTGTTTATGCAGAAAGCGCTCGGATTTTATCAAAAATATCTTAATTTGTGTTCCAAAGATGAATGAAGGTCTTACAGGTTTGGGACGACATTAATTACTGACAGAATTTTCATTTTGTGGTGAACTATCCCTTTAATGAAGTGTTAACAATGGATTTTTTTTTTTTTCAAACACACAATGTTTTGCTTAAGATGTTAACTGATGGACTGGAGTCGTGGGTTACTTGTGGATTATTGTGATGTTTTTATCAGCTGTTTGGATATATGTTCTGACGGCACCCATTCACTGTAGTACACCATTCACATTGGTGAGCAAGTGATGTAATGCTAAATTTCTCCAAATCTGCTCTGATGAAGAAAAAACTCATCTACATCTTGGATGGCCTGAGGGTGAGTACATTTTCAACAAATCTTTGGGTGAACTAATCAATATTTGGTCAAAAGACACATAACCAAGCATGTGTGACCATACCTGCTCCTCGTGTCGTTTTATTTTTGTTCCAATGAGTAATGTTAACCAGACTCAGGAATTTTCTCTGTGTACTGGGTGTGTGCTGATGGATCCTTAGAGGGTAACATGCTTAAGGAGTGGTGGATAATTACAGTGGCCTGTGTGAATGTGTTTTGGCTTGATGTTTGTTTGTTGAGAACTGCAGATCTTGATCCTGTAGTGCTAGATTATAAAAACATACTTTGCAATTCATTACCCTTCATGTCTAAAGTTTATTGGCATCATAAAGGAAGCTTGTTTGGACTTTTCCAAACTAGGAGTAAATAAAACGCAATTTTAGCCCCCAAAGTAAAGGCTGACACTATCACGTCAATAATATATAGCTGTAAATTACTGCCCCCTATAGATAGTTCCAGATACTACAGGCTATTTGTGCTCCATAATACAACTATTTAGTTAGTTGTAACCTGTAATCTGTTTTTTTTATTAAAATTGGAGTACATTTTACAGGAAAATACTATTTCAATCTCTACTTTGAAACGTCATGTTTAATTTAATGTGTTACTTTCTTGTTTCTTCATAATTGTGAAATTTAGCTCAAATAAATTTCTGAGTGAAAACAGTGCATTTTGTGGTGTGTACAAAATACTGCTTGCAAAATCACAGTTGACACAGCAGTATAGATTTCAACAAAACTCTTTATTTCACTTATACAGTTTATAAAACCAAACTTGCCTGCTTTGATGCCAACATAAAAGGTATGTGGGACATTTGTTTGTGTGTGTATATACTATGTATGTGTGTGTGTGTGTGTGTGTGTGTGTGTGTGTGTGTGTGACAGAGAGAGAAAGGCTCAAAGAAAAAAGCTTGAGAAGAGTGTGTTTTTGTGTTTTGATCAGTTTTATGTGTGTGAGTGTATGTGTAAGTGAATACAGGAGTGCTGATAAGGCAACATGCAGTCTTCAGTTTTTTGTGGCTTCAAAGAAAGAACAAACTGCAATGTTTGATAGCTTTGTCCTAGTTACCTACAGCAGACACAAGCCTGGGGTGGATCTGAACACACCGGTGAGCGACCGGACAGGGATGGGGTTTGGGTGGCCATGATGGCAAGGCTAAATGAAGATGAAGACAGTCAGATCTACACTTCTTAGCATTCCCTTGGTAAAACACAGTGCTACAGAACAGACCAATGACAAACTTTGCAATGGTGCTGTAGTATTGCTTTTACATTGCGTGCATGACAAATTCATGATCGCGCACCTACTTCACATGCATCGCAACAAAATCAGGACAAAACAGGATGTGTTTGAAGATTTGATCTCTTCCTATAACATCGAAAGACTCCTTGTCCCAACTGGAACCAAATCTCATGTGTATAAGAATGAAAAAATGCAAGTCTAGCACAGCTACAACAATACGGATAATCGTTTTTTGTTTTACAGTATCTATGTATACAGTATGTGTTCACATTTTGTGAATAAACATATTTGTTCTTACTCTAACAAATCACACAATAAGTCTATTGGTCAAGCACACAGTAACTCTATTCTGCACACATACTGAACTAAAGGAATGTAATGTATCTCTTAATGCACATACAACTTGTCATTGCGTACATTGCAGCATTTTCAAGACTAAATAAATTGAAACATGGCTATGATCTCACAAAGATCCAGACGCACTTTGCTACATGCCCTGATGAAATGAGATGTATTGCTTTTCTTACATTACTGGTCATGCGGGTTTCTTTTTCCCCCCAGCCATGCTCCTAAAAGACCACCTCAACCTGTGATACCAGCCTCTGGGCTTCATTTTGTGTGTATGTATGAGTGTGTGTGTGTTTTCGATGAGGTGTGGATGGGAAGAGGAATGACAGTAACACTAGAGAACAGCATGACGACACCACGGATGGAGAGGAGGGGAAGCGTCACACATCTAACGGCTACAGGGCTCAGGGAAAGTCTTTTTCAACTCTGGTTTTCCATACAGTCACAAAAAAATATCAGCAACATCTGGAGTCTGGAAGGGGTGAGGCTTTGGAGCAGAAACTCAGGGGGAAGAGAGGGGACCGTTTCAGCTTCAGGCCTCTGGACTAATAACCCTGATGAACAGAAAGAACACAGATTAAGTCATTTCATATATGGTTTAATCCTGGGATTCTTATCTACGCAGATGCAGATGCCTTGGACACTTTCCATGAAGAGAGTTCACAATAAAGTCAATCTTTTCTCAGGAAATAGTCAGTGTGTTTAAGTAGGATTTTATTATTATTATTATTTAAATTAATACTTTTATTCAGTATTAATACATTAAATATAAAAAAGTGACAGTAAAGACATCTGGAATGTTACAAAAGATTCCTCTTTTAAATATGAACAAATTTGAAATAACATTACATTTTTACTGTATTTTTGATCAAATTAAGGCAGCCTTCGTGAGCATAAAATACCCCAAACTTTTGAACGCTGTATATGCATGGGGAGAACCGTTTATGGTATGCTACACAGTATGCTACATAGTTTTTTTCTTTCTTTTTTGTTAAAAATAAGTTTAGGTACATATCTAAGGTTTTTTTTTTAATTACAGAATCATGAAATGTGTCTCCCTAATGCTTAAAAAATATAAAAAACAACAAATAATGGGAGACCAAAGTGCACTGTTTTCATGGAAAGTCCTTTTTCCTCACCTCTCCACCGTCTCCTCCTTCCATGCCCCCATGAGAGAAGTCACCCTGTGAAATACAGACACTGTTAACATCCAAGAGACAGCTGCTTTCTGCTTTAGATCCATCTGGCATTCAGCAGTGAATCTTCATATGGAGCGCAATAACAGCTTTTGACATGTTAAACAGCCATACTAAATAATATCCATTCAGACATGCAGGGATGCAGCACAGCCACGGGCCTCGCAGACACTCTGTTCACTGCAATGTGTTATGACTGCTGTCTCTGCAGAGATGCAGGGAGCGAGGGAGAGATGTAAACGGTGGTCATGGTGAATGCATCTGGCAGGCACATCTTCTTCTGTCGCTGTCTTTGTTTGTTCCGTCTCTGTGGTACAGCTGTGCTGAGCTCTGCTGCTGAGTCACTGTCAGGACCAGACACTCTGTCCTCCTCAAAGGACTTTCTGCCTCACAACAGTCTTAAACTAATCTCTTTCTTCTTTACATCCCCAACCAAATCAAAAACCTAGTTTACTTTCATAATCTAACATATTTCAAAATGAAACAAGCATTTCAACAAGATGTTGTGATCTAACATTTGCCAAAAAGGACAGTTGTTTCAAGTAATAAGTGCTGTGTTACATTTTCATGAGCGATTCTGAAGACAAACAGCTTTTGAAGTAGCGTGCACCTATGAATCATACACAAAAAGACTAGGAACTTTTACATAAATAGTAAAAGTTTTTTATATTTATATTGATTTTAAAGCATAGCCTAATTGCTTTCTGAATATCTGTATTCACTGTTAAAATGAGTTACCATTAGCTATTTAACTATGAAAACTGATCTGTGATTTCCAGAAAGGGGAACAACGTCTCCTATACAGCAGTTTAGGGACCTATGCATTTGAATACATAGATATTAATACATGCTTTGGATGACGTTCTGAAGGCCAAACTTTGGTCCTAGATAAACCATTATTCCTTCATGCACAATGTCAAATCATGCAGAAAGATTAGTATTATTGAATTGTTTTTGTTTTTTTGCAACAGCAAGTAACAAGAATTTTGTGCAGGGAAAACATGCATCCATGAGCAGTTAAAAATGCAGAATGCAGTAGCACTCTGCCATTGATAAGCTTTCTGATGATGTGAAAATGTAACTGTTTAGTGTCATTTACTTGATGAATCACATCATTTTATTGTATCTGTCCTGTCCTGCCAGAATGTATGCTCTGGTAGAAGATGAGTTATTATCACGATAAAGATCCCAGGTTGTTAGTTGATGCAATGGGAATGAGAGACAGGTAAATATGAGGACAGATCGGTCATTTGCTTGTCATTCATGTCACCCACATGGTAATAGAAAGATTGAATTCTCTTTATGATAACATAATTGTGCTGTCAAGTGACTAAAGATCACTGCATTTCATTTAGTGCATCTGCTCCAGTGTTGTTATTATTACTTAAAACTATTAATAGTTAATTAAACTTAAGCTGAAATAAAGTAAAATATAAATATTAGATGAAAATCTTAAACTTAAAAAAAAGAAAAAGAAAATTAGAAGTATTGCCTTGGCTACTAAATGAAATTAAATAAGTTTAGGTTCAAGTACTAAAATTACTAAAACTAAAATGAAAATGAAATCTGAACAGAAATATTTTTAAAAATGACAGAAACCTAAAAAAATACTAAAATATAAACTAAAACAAAATATAAAAATGAAAGTTAATTAAAATATTCATAAATAATAACACTAAAATATCACTGATCTGCTGCCTTCCCAATTCTGTGTTTTTATCCCAGCAAATTACTAAACACTAACAATATTAGCTCATTAACTTGATGGGAACTGATGGGAATTTGGGTAATCAATGAGGTAATCAATGCAGCCATTCTTTCTCATTAGGCACAATGAAGAGAATGACTCCAGGGGGGACTGAACTGAACTCTGCTGTTATATAGATGGTTGTGCACATTCTCCCCATCTGTGTGGTGTGATACCGCAGTCAAAGTTAAAGTTAAAGCTCAGTCTCATATGCAGCATGGAGTATACAGTATATGTATATGTGTATATATGTATATGTATGGAGTACATAGCCAGGGCGGAGCCGAAGACCACTATATACTAGCATTTCTCTTTACAAACCAAATCAACCATTCCCAACCCCATTTAATAAGCACCTCATATAAAGCCTCATCCTGTTAACAGCACAATTGTAAACAGGGAAAAACAAACAGAATATGTTAGACACAAAATACCAGTATTTAAACAGTAAATACACAGCTCTTCTGCTGTGTATAATCAAATAGATGTAGAGCTTGCGGTTATCTCAGATTAGACACAGAACGCTTAGGTTAGTCTTAAGTCATTTAAAGGTGTTTTAAAATGCAACACACAAGAAAGATTAAATATGGTATTTAAGTGATGTGAATTGAATTGGATTTTGGAGAAAGGGCGACATCTAGTGCTAGTGGAGATCTCACCGGGTTGACCAGGCCGGTTGATGCAGCCACATTCTCCAGTCCCTCTACTGTCTTCTGTCCAACTTCATTAGTGCTGCCTACCGCTGTTTCACCGACAATATTCGCCTGGTCTGTGGTCCTCTGGGCAACTGTGAGTGTCAAAATTATGAAGAGTGAATGTAAATGACTTCTTAATTCTCAGTTTCAGTTCTCTGAAGATGTACGCATATTCATTTCTCACCTGTGTTTACGCCTGACACCACTCCCTCTTTTGTCTTGTTACCTGAAATATGAGAAATAAACATGAAATATTCTTCAGAAATTGCAGATTGGTACAAAAACACCAAATGAGGTTCCATATAAATAGAGGCAAAGGCATATGGCTATTCAAGGGTAAATGTGAAATAGGCTATGTAAATTTTACATTGATATGATCATAACAATAGACAGAACAGCATTTTTTACGAACGCTGGATAGTTCATTGTTGATAGTCTATAGTTTATAGAGTAAATAGGTGTCACTCTGAACATATTTTTAATGATAAGTGAGTACAGAATACAAAATATGTGAAACAGAAAAAACATTTACAATATACACACAACGGATTTTCAACATTGAGACAATTATATTATAATATTATTACAATTTAAAATGTATTTTTTTAATACATTTTAAAATGTAATTTATTCCTGTTACGGCAAAGCTGATTACTCTAGTCTTCAGTGTCTCACAATCCTTCAGAAATCATTCTATTATGCTGTTTTTGTGCTAATTAAAAATTATAATTTTGTCTAAATTATGACCCCAACCCCCCCCCCCCCCCCCCCTCTTTTTGGTAAAAACACCCCCCCCCCCCCACTTGGTTTGAAAGAACAGCATTTGTTAGATTTTTTTTACTATTTATAAAGTGCCTTTACTGTCAATTTTTTAAACAATTTAAAAGAATAACAATATTAAAAAAAATAAATGCTGACCCCAAACGGTAGTGCATACAAAATTCTAATTACTGAATAAACAGCAATTATCACATTTAGACTGTTTTTCTGTGTCTCAGTGACTAAAATGTCAGGAGTTAAGTCTTGATAGCAGTCTAATCTCATCATTTAAACCTGCTTACTTCTCTATTCACAGATGATAGAGGACTATACAGATCTATGCAAATTCAGCACCACTTCAAAGCAGATAAGATACCAAATGCTTCATTAACAGGCAATGACACTTTGCTTCAAAGAGTTTGTCTATCAGTCTTAGCTACATCAATATCATTCTATCCCACACACACGAGCCTCGCTGTCATCAAGCATTTAAAAATTCATCACATAGATCATGTAATATTTAGATGCAAACTGCTTCCGTATTACTCTACGTCTTTCATTTATGCGTATACATTAGTCTTTGCATTTCTATTCTTAGACTTCTCTTCTTTCTCACTCTCTTTCTCTATGTTTTCTATATGCGAAAGCTCAGTTTTTGAGTCGTTTCTGCATGGCTGAGCACATCTGCTCTCATGTGTTCTTTCTGTATGTGCCTTAAAGGAGATCTCTTTATATTTATTTACCAGTTTGCTGGATGAATCTGAGTGGCTTGTTAGATAAAGCGTTTGCACCATCACTTTCAGTTGAGGAGATCTCCACTGCATCATACGATAAAGCAGAACATACAGTTCTGGATAAAAGGCCATTCACAGTATCAAATGCAGTAGCTTTGACACTCTCAAACGGAGAATAAGTAACCTGACTTTGTAACAATCAACCTGAGTAACGACTTCACGCTCTAGTGCACGTAATGCCATATAAGCACTCTGAAGACCCCTGACAATACATGCACTAGATTTGCAGGCCTGTGACCTCAGCACAGGTGACCTTGGTGGAAAAGTGCTTATAAAGATTACATAACACCCAAATGCATGCTGGGTTGATTGTTGATCTGATTGGATTAGGTGAGATTACCACTGTCAGGTTATAGGTGATGAAAACGAGGAGAGAAAGTTTCAAGTGTTTTCTGGAACACTCTATGGTGTGTATATCCAGGTGGGAATGCACTGAATGAATACTACATAGTCATGGTTTCGTGTTGAATTGTTTGTACTTTGTATTTTCAGTCATGATTCGCTTCGCCATCTGTTAATTTCTGTGCTGATGAGCATAAGCAGACGCTATGGGGCTGCAAGCCTATGACATAACACTTGAGCACTGCACATCATTTCCCATCTCTCTCTCTTTCTATGGTGGCGTAGGGGGATGGTGAGGGTTAGTCATCACAGTCCACTCACAACCAGGCAAATCCTGCTGCATCGGCACACACACATGGAAGATGGGGAGCGCAGAGAGGGAGGGAGTAAATGCTGCAGTGCTCAGCTGATCTGCTGTATATGCCCCGCTTACTTTCTCTCTTGTTCACATGCACATAAACAACACTTTATAGTGCGTGCAGGACGGAATAGTATGCAGACTGTTAGTTGATGAAGTTGGAATTATTATATTGTACTGGACAGGTACATAACAGGTAAATACCTTATTCACATGCACATGAATGCATGCAGGAAATAAGTGTCAAAAAGAGTAAAAAAGCACATTTTAAAGCCTAAAAGTAGTGCACAGTAAATTTTTATTCATTAATTATTAACTGCACTAATTTTTGTTTCAAATTACTAGTTGTTACATTGTTAATAGTGTGAGCATGTTGGACTTTATTGAATTAAATTGTGCAATATTGTATAAGGCAGTGCATCATAGTGTATTATGTGAAAAAAAAACATTTATTTATTTAATTATGAAATTCATCTGAAATATTAGTGCACACTCATCTTATTGTTTTATATGAGCTTTCACTGTTTCCCGTTCAGGTCTGCACTCCCATAACTCTCTCTTTCACCACACCCCATGTTTCATTCCCTGCACCATTTTTGCAGCATTTTTTTTTTAATCAGTCGTGTATCTCACATTCGCAGCTGCTTCCATCTACACTCTCACAACTCCTCAGCAGACTAGAGCACAACCTCACGGAGACCCTCCTCTCCTCCACACACACACTTGCTAATGGAATGCAGACTCATCCATCACATCTGCATTAGATCTATTGGGAATAATTGCAGAGACCTTTATAGAACACAGCTATTATTACCACTGTCAGTGCTGCATTATTTTACCCTGTGTGGCACACACACACGCACACACACACACACACACACACACACACACACACACACACAC